GCTGCAGCAAGGACTCAGCCTCGTACATGGGCCGCTGAGCCACTGAGCTAACCGGGCGCTCACAGCAGCAGTTTAATGTTGTTTACTGACTGAAGGTTGAATATAGTTTCATATAGAGCGCCCCCTGTGGACGAGAGCCGCAGTGTTTCTACTGCCTCGTTTAATTGATTTCAAGGGGAATCCGATCCGGTGGCAGACATTAACAATAACCATATAGAAATATCCAATCGTTGTCTCTGTAGCTTACATAGTGCAGTGGTTCTCAACCTGGGGGTCGGGAACCCCACTACAGGTCACCGGAGCTTCACATGGGGTCACAAGGCTGATGTTTACAGGAAATAATCACAATTCATCCAAACTGCTCATTTTACACAAATTTCCCGCAGTTCTTGTGTTAAATATTTGGGTTTACTGTACAGTTTATCAATTGTTCTCTATTGTTAATATCCATATGTCACACAGTCGGGTCAGTTTTCTCAGTGGTCCTTACTGAAAGACTCGAACAGAGTTATGAGCCAAAGTTTGATTCAACTGAATGTTTGTGACAAACATCTGGACACACGACTGTTAGGGGTCAAATATAAATGTAACATTGATATTGATATTGTGATATTGAATTGCTTCTCAAAGACACTATATTGATTTATGTGACTGCCCCCCCAACTGCTCCACAGCAGTGAAAGTACACTGAGGGCTATTGATTGGAAACTACAGGGACGTTTTGCTCAGATTTTATGCGGTTTGTGGACAGTTTGATCTCCTAAATGTCCTCCAGTAGTTTCCATTAACTCCTCATTAACTAAAGAGAACATCATGAATCACATTAAACAGTTTCTGACCGCTCGCTGTCGCTGCAGTGGACGCCGCTCGGCTTCAAGATGAGAGACCCCGACACGCTGGACGACATCAGCAAGGAGCGATTCGAAGGCACCGTCCTCAAAGCCATTTCCAAAAACATAAAGAAGATCAAGAAGGAGCCGAAGGAGGAGCAACGAGGAGGAGGTGCTGAGGGAGGACAAACTCTCCTCAGACTGGTACAAAAATATTACGACAAAAGTCTTTAAAGTTCTGGAGTGTAGAAAGAAAGAAGATTATCCATAAATTAAATGTTTTTCTTGCAGGTGAAAATTAAAGTGGAGAAAATGGACGAGGACGAGGAGAAGGAAGGAAAACCTGAAGGAGCAGGAGGAGAGGAGGGAAAAAGATTAGAGATTAAAAAGGAGGATGAGGAGGAGGTGAAGAAGAAGAAGAATGAGTCGGCTGATGCTGTGGGCGAAGCCGCTGCAGGGGGCGGAGCCAAACAGGACCCAGAGATGGGTCGACTGGTGATGACCATCGACGGTCAACAGAAGCAGCTTCCCTTCGGCCCCAATGACCTGCTGACCACGGCCACCATGTTGGATGGAGACAAGGTGAGAGGATGCTGGAGGCGTTACAGACAGTTTAAAGCAACCAGCTGGGATTAACTGTATATTATTACTGTTAAATATATACAGTATGACACTCATCCTTTTATTTTATGTCCTCAGACCACCTTTCACAGACATCTGTCAGCTCTGGTTAACAGCTAACAGTGGCTACACGACGTTAGCTCCACAGGGAGCGAGTCCAAAAACATCAACCAACAGCATAAAGTAATTTTTAGGGTGAAGTAACTTTGATAAATACAGATTCATTGGACGTAGCCAAAAGTCCCCAACAGTATTTATAGTATTTTAAAAATGAGCTCAACCTGAATACAGAAGTAATATTAATCTAAAAGCATCAGATATAACACTGACAGGAACATTTTACTGCACAGGGACTTCTTTTTGTCTCCCAGGACAATAATTTTACATTTCTATTAATGTGTTGTATTATACAGTCTTTTATTACAGTTTTGTAGTATGATTATATGTATATAGGAGGAATCTTCATAAGCCATTTTTGGCTTCAAACCTCTCCTGCACATTTCTTTTAAATTCTGTTATTTTTATATATATTCATAGTGCATGTGCAAAGAACAAGTCATAAAATAATAAAGTATATTTTGCTGTAATACCTTTAGGTATGGCTGTCGCAGTAACCACAGTAATGAAATATTGTACATCTACACGTCAGAGTGGCAAATCTGAAGAGACTCACAGGAGAGGCACTGTCACACTCGGTGTCCCACAATTCATAGCTAGGCATACAATACTACTCAGGAGAAATGGGGCTGATATTAGTACTTTTACTTGATGGACCTGAATACTTCCTCCCCCTGTGGTTAGCTCACCCAGAGCCACTTACTGTGGGTAACCTGGGTGTGTGCTGTTAGATTGATTGTGTTTGACCTGCGGCTTCCAGCTCCATCACTGTGCTGAAACAACCAGTTTCTTTAGTTCTGGATGTTTCTCATCCTGAACTGTGTCTGATCTGTGAAGGTACGTTTCAACATCGCCACCCATCAGGAGACCAAAGAGGAGCGAGCGACCTACGTGGAAATTCTTCCCGACTCCTTTGAAGAGTCCACCGAACAACGTCGACACGTAAGACTTTAGAGCGCTTTCATCTCTTTGCGCTGTTAGTTTGAGTCAGAGCAGCTGCAGAGACTGAATCTGAATCTGAAACCAACCAAACCAGTCTAACTGTTTGTGTGACTGATTTTCTAACCAGGGAATCGTGATCGAGTTCATGGACGACTCGGGGCTCATCAAGTGCTCTCAGAACCCTCAACTCTACTTCCACATGTCCGAGGTGATAGAGAAGAAGAGACTGGAGCTTAACGAGAAGGTGGAGTTCAGCGTCGTCCCGGTGAGTCCCCCTTAATCATTTTTATCCTCTTCGGCTTTCAGTCAGAGTTCTGATGGCTGAGGGGCTTTTACAGGAGCTTTAGGATTAAAAAAAGAGTCCGATTACGTCAGGACAAGAAGCTGGACTGTTCAGATATTCATAACCAGAACTACCCAGGACCAGTCAGTCAGATCCACATCAACCACTAATCTCAGGACTTTGTTGGATTTTCATCACAACATTCACAGTTTTGCATCAAATTTTCTGTATTTTACCAGCTGGAATTTTAATGTCTAGTGTTTTCTAACTTGAAAAGTCTTGGAAACAAGTTAAGTGATTGTATCCAAGTTTGAGGCTTTTGGGAAAATATAATGTTTAACTGACGTTAGTTTTTGAAGTCTTAAAAATGTGGCAGTCGGTATGAATATTGTCTTTTTGACTAATGCCTGGTAGTTCAACAACTACATATGTTCACGTATGTAACTGTTGTTATTGTCCTTTAACAGGCCTGAAACTGTTGTAGACAGCAGTAGTTATGCCTTCAGACAGTCAGTAGAGTTTGTGTCCGTTTAGGTGTTTGTATTTATGTATTTTATCTAAAATAAAAACACGTATTATTTTTTCTCCAAGCATGAAACGGCGGAGGGGGGACATCAGGCCATCAGGATAAAACGTCACACCGAGAGTGTTTTTCTCCCTGCTCGGAAACTGGGCGGAGTCGGTGCAAACAAAGGAAAGGTAAAGACTTATATATTATATTTATACAGTTATGATTAGGAATGTAAGTGCAAGGTGGTTAAATCGAGGTACAAATATGTGAAGATTCATGTTTGTAAAGTGAGAAATAATTTGTGATATCAAGGCACAAAGAAAGGAAAGGAAATCTGCATGTTTTGCACAGTTTATACCGAAACTTCGAAATAACAGGATTCTATAAAAGACAATATTATACATATTTTAGAGAAGTAAAGGAATCTTTTTCAGTCATAACCAGTCAAACTATGAGTTGACTCGTTAAATCCGTAGATACGTTGTGGGAAGAAATGAAGAGTTTGCTGCTTTTGTTAATTTTTCAAATCCATCTGTATCCAACAAACATTTTTGTATTAAATATTTGTACTACATTAACAACTTCCATCATATTTCAGTAAAGGATAATATATATTACAGGATGATTTTTGGGTTCAATGCAAAGCTGTACATTGCTTCTATAGTGTTACCATAACCTACATTCATTTACCAGTTACAGTTGTTTCAAGATGTTTGCAGAGATCATTAGTTTTTATAGATAGATAGATAGATAGATAGATTATTTATCCTCAGGGAAATTCAAGCATCCAGTAGCAGCATACACTAGATACATACATACATACATACATACATTAGACATACGTTAAACATACATTCAAATTAAAATTAACATTCAAATTAAAATTAAAACAGTGCAAATAGAGGAGGAAATTGTCCATTGTCCAAGAG